CTATACCCAAACAGTAACTCCATCTACTGAGAGTAATAACTATACCCACACAGTAACTCCATTTACTGAGAGTAATAACTATATCCTCACAGTAACTCCCTGTACTGAGAGTAATAACTATACCCACACAGTAACTCCATGTACTGAGAGTAATAACTGTACCCACACAGTAACTACATCTACTGAGAGTAATAACTATACCCACACAGTAACTCCATGTACTGAGAGTAATAACTATACCCACACAGTAACTCCATCTACTGAGAGTAATAACTGTACCCACACAGTAACTCCATGTACTGAGAGTAATAACTGTACCCACACAGTAACTCCATGTACTGAGAGTAATAACTATACCCACACAGTAACTCCATCTACTGAGAGTAATAACTATACCCACACAGTAACTCCATCTACTGAGAGTAATAACTATACCCACACAGTAACTCCCTGTACTGAGAGTAATAACTATACCCACACGGTAACTCCCTGTACTGAGAGTAATAACTATACCCACACGGTAACTCCATGTACTGAGAGTAATAACTATACCCACACAGTAACTCCATGTACTGAGAGTAATAACTATACCCACACAGTAACTCCATCTACTGAGAGTAATAACTATACCCACACAGTAACTCCCTGTACTCAGAGTAATAACTATACCCACACAGTAACTCCATCTACTGGGAGTAATAACTATACCCACCCAGTAACTCCCTGTACTCAGAGTAATAACTATACAAACCCAGTAACTCCATCTACTGAGAGTAATAACTATACCCACACAGTAACTCCATCTACTGAGAGTAATAACTATACCCACACAGTAACTCCATGTACTGAGAGTAATAACTATACCCACACAGTAACTACATCTCCTGAGAGTAATAACTATACCCACACAGTAACTACATCTCCTGAGAGTAATAACTATACCCACACAGTAACTCCATGTACCGAGAGTAATAACTATACCCACACAGTAACTACATCTCCTGAGAGTAATAACTATACCCACACAGTAACTCCATCTACTGAGAGTAATAACTATACCCACACAGTAACTCCATCTCCTGAGAGTAATAACTATACCCACACAGTAACTCCATGTACTGAGAGTAATAACTATACTCACACAGTAACTCCATCTACTGAGAGTAATAACTATACCCACACAGTAACTCCATCTACTGAGAGTAATAACTATACCCACACAGTAACTCCATCTACTGAGAGTAATAACTATACCCACACAGTAACTCCATCTCCTGAGAGTAATAACTATACCCACACCGTAACTCCATCTCCTGAGAGTAATAACTATACCCACACAGTAACTCCATCTCCTGAGAGTAATAACTATACCCACACAGTAACTCCATCTACTGAGAGTAATAACTATACCCACACAGTAACTCCATCTACTGAGAGTAATAAATATACCCACACAGTAACTCCATCTACTGAGAGTAATAACTATACCCACACAGTAACTCCATCTACTGAGTGTAATAACTATACCCACACAGTAACTCCATCTCCTGAGAGTAATAACTATACCCACACAGTAACTCCATGTACTGAGAGTAATAACTATACCCACACAGTAACTCCATCTACTGAGAGTAATAACTATACCCACACAGTAACTATACCCACACAGTAACTCCATCTACTGAGAGTAATAACTATACCCACACAGTAACTCCATCTACTGAGAGTAATAACTATACCCACACAGTAACTCCATCTACTGAGAGTAATAACTATACCCTCACAGTAACTCCATCTACTGAGAGTAACTCCATCTACCGAGAGTAATAACTATACCCACACAGTAACTCCATGTACTGAGAGTAATAACTATACCCACACAGTAACTGCATGGAACTGAGTGTAATAACTATACCCACCCAGTAACTCCATCTACTGAGAGTAATAACTATACCCACACAGTAACTCCATGTACTGAGAGTAATAACTATACCCTCACAGTAACTCCATCTACTGAGAGTAATAACTATACCCACACAGTAACTCCATCTACCGAGAGTAATAACTATACCCACACAGTAACTCCATCTACCGAGAGTAATAACTATACCCACACAGTAACTCCATGTATTGAGAGTAATAACTATACCCTCACAGTAACTCCATCTACCGAGAGTAATAACTATACCCACACAGTAACTCCATCTACCGAGAGTAATAACTATACCCACACAGTAACTCCATCTACTGAGAGTAATAACTATACCCACACAGTAACTCCATCTACCGAGAGTAATAACTATACCCACACAGTAACTCCATGTACTGAGAGTAATAACTAAACCCACACAGTAACTCCATCTACTGAGGGTAATAACTATACCCACACAGTAACTCCATGTACTGAGAGTAATAACTATACCCACACAGTAACTCCCTGTACTGAGAGTAATAACTATACCCACACAGTAACTCCATCTACTGAGAGTAATAACGATACCCACACAGTAACTCCATCTACTGAGAGTAATAACTATACCCACACAGTAACTCCATCTACTGAGAGTAATAACTATACCCACACAGTAAATCCATCTACCGAGAGTAATAACTATACCCACACAGTAACTCCATCTACTGAGAGTAATAACTATACACACACAGTAACTCCATGTACTGAGAGTAATAACTATAGCCACACAGTAACTCCATGTACTGAGAGTAATAACTATACCCACACAGTAACTCCATGTACTGAGAGTAATAACTATATCCACACAGTAACTCCATCTACCGAGAGTAATAACTATACCCACACAGTAACTCCATCTACCGAGAGTAATAACTATACCCACACAGTAACTCCATCTACTGAGAGTAATAACTATACCCACACAGTAACTCCATCTACTGAGAGTAATAACTATACCCACACAGTAACTCCATCTACTGAGAGTAATAACTATACCCACACAGTAACTCCATCTACTGAGAGTAATAACTATACCCACACAGTAACTCCATCTACTGAGAGTAATAACTATACCCACACAGTAACTCCATCTACTGAGAGTAATAACTATACCCACACAGTAACTCCATCTACTGAGAGTAATAACTATACCCACACAGTAACTCCCTGTACTGAGAGTAATAACTATACCCACACAGTAACTCCCTGTACTGAGAGTAATAACTATACCCACACAGTAACTCCATCTACTGAGAGTAATAACTATACCCACACAGTAACTCCCTGTACTGAGAGTAATAACTGTACCCACACAGTAACTCCATCTCCTGAGAGTAATAACTATACCTACACAGTAACTAAGACTCCTGAGAGTAATAACCACACATACCCTCACACAGTAACCCCTGTACCAAGAGTAACAACTATGCACCACCACACAGTAACCCCAAAATTCAAGAGCAATACCAACTATACCCACACAGTAACTCCATCTACTGAGAGTAATAACTATACCCACACAGTAACTCCATCTACCGAGAGTAATAACTATACCCACACAGTAACTCCATCTACTGAGAGTAATAACTATACCCACACAGTAACTCCATCTACTGAGAGTAATAACTATACCCACACAGTAACTCCATCTACCGAGAGTAATAACTATACCCACACAGTAACTCCATCTACCGAGAGTAATAACTATACCCACACAGTAACTCCATCTACTGAGAGTAATAACTATACCCACACAGTAACTCCATCTACTGAGAGTAATAACGATACCCACACAGTAACTCCATCTACTGAGAGTAATAACTATATCCACACAGTAACTCCATCTACCGAGAGTAATAACTATACCCACACAGTAAATCCATCTACCGAGAGTAATAACTATACCCACACAGTAACTCCATCTACTGAGAGTAATAACTATACACACACAGTAACTCCATGTACTGAGAGTAATAACTATACCCACACAGTAACTCCATGTACTGAGAGTAATAACTATACCCACACAGTAACTCCATGTACTGAGA